ACACTGCCTTTGCTCAAGACCACACTGCCTTTGCTCAAGACCACACTGCCTTTGCTCAAGACCACACTGCCTTTGCTCAAGACCACACTGCCTTTGCTCAAGACCACACTGCCTTTGCTCAAGACCACACTGCCTTTGCTCAAGACCACACTGCATTTGCTCGCTAGTGTCGCTTCCTCTCTTGAGAATATGAAATGTATAGAGTTAATTAATCTTTGGAAACCCAGTAATTTCCCTATTCTCTAATCGCTATTCTCTAATCGCTACTCTCTAATCGCTATTCTCTAGTCACTACTCTCTAGTCACTACTCTCTAATCGCTATTCTCTAGTCACTACTCTCTAATCGCTATTCTCTAGTCACTACTCTCTAGTCACTACTCTCTAGTCACTGCTCTCTAGTCGCTACTTTTCTCTCTTCTTCCTCTCGACTATCTCACCTTCCTCGGTTGTCTCTAATTTCGCAACAATTTGAGTTAAAATCAAAGAGAAAAAAAAATCAATATGTTTCACTAGTTAGTATGCGGAATCTAAAAAATGAAAATTTTCAAATATTTCGATTCTTGTTAAGAAAAGGGATCATTACTACCACCACCGAGTAGAGAGGAAAAGAGGAAGAGATGTCGGATCATCCTATTTCGCAGCCACCAATAGACGGTGCATCTAAACTAACGCTATCACCAGAATCGAAATTGCATGGGTTTGAGTGGTGGAGGAGATCATTACAATATCAAACGGGTTTAGGTCAAACACCACAAGAGAAAGCACAATTTGAATATGACTTTCAAAATCGAGATTTGGACAAAAAATGTGAAACTTGTAAAGAAAATTTAAACTGGGTTCTTAAATACTCGCCACTGGTCTTGTTCATGATGGACCATATTAGGAAATTAAATAAAGACAACGAACCAGTACCGAGACTGAAAATCGTATGCCAAACTTGTGATTTTACAAAAGGCGGTGGTTTTAATCCTGAGTTGGGGATAGTGCTATGCAGTAACTGGATTCGATCCAAATGGCAGTTGGAAGATATCTTGACTCACGAATTGGTACATTTGTATGATTTCATGAGATTTGATGTGGATATAAACAATTTGAGGCATCATGCATGTATGGAGATCCGGGCCTCAATGTTGAGTGGAGAGTGCAGAGTATGGAACGAGATAAGGAAAACAGGATTGGGCAATTTTGGTAAAAAGTTTCAAGATTGTATTAGAAGAAGAGCCATTATATCCGTGGCAGCAAATCCAATATGCAATAGTAAAGAAGAAGCAGAATCTGTGGTCAATCTTGTGTGGAAGAGTTGTTTTAATGATACCAGACCATTTGAACGTGTATATAGGTAAGCTTCAACCTGCTACAAAAAAAAGAAAAGGAATTCTACAAACATGGATATTTTTCAAGTGTTTTAGTGCGACTTTGAAGATTTGATATCCAAAGCTTTTTCACTCATATGTTTTTAGTCTATTGAGTAGCAACTTGCTGCTTTTGTGTAGTTGCTATTTGCTAAATGGCGAAAAATACCTGGAATAAAAATGTAGCACAATTTTAATTTTTCCATACTCATACTAACAAACGATGGGAACGATTGTGACACTATCGAGCAAAGCGAGATAGTGGAGCACATAGTAGATAGTTCATTGAGTCGAGGCGTTACCTTTTGGGTTTATCCGCGGAAAGTGATTAAAATCTTTGCCCAAATACATCGTACCACTCCAAGTCCGTTCAATAATTGTCCCCAATATGTAAATGACTTTTTATTTTTTATGATTTTGCATTTATTCCCATCTACATAGAAGGCACACAGTTTAATTAGTATAGAAGGAGACAGTTTAATTAGTACTACTACATATTGTAAGTTTCTCGCTTCTTTCTTTTTTCTTCTTCAAACATTACTACAATAAGTATCGCTTAGTCTCCTACACAACGCATACTTGGGTACTGAAAGGAATACTACGGGATGGCAGGGCCAGAAAAAAAAATGCATATAAAGAGACACACATTACTGTTTTTCCTTGGGAGTAAGTTTGTCCATACAAAACAATACCTCCATACTCAATCTTGCCTTAACTCCTTTCGGGTGCAAAAAGTCTTAGTTGGAAAAAAAAAATTTCACTACTCCTGAAATATAAGGCCATTTTGTTATAGCATACACGTTGTCGATACATGTCTTCTTCCCACCACTAGAGAAGTAAAGTATCCCGTGTGTAGGCTGAAATCCATATATTGAAAAAAAGAAGAGCGAGAGAGAGCGAAAGAGAGACAGAGAGACAGAGAGACAGAGACAAAGAGAGAGATATGACTTCGAATACTTGTGATAGATTAGATCTCTTATCAGAAAAGGTTAATAGACGAGATTTACTAGATATCAACAATGACTATAATGCTTCGTCATCAAGTGATAACGAGGACCTGGATGCATCAAAAACACTTGCCGATGCAATTGAGTTACAAGACTCTCAACCAGAACAGCTACACAGGATTGGTAAACAAGATTCAAGAAACGGAGTTCTGTCTTCTTTCTCCACCACCACCTCCTCCTTCTCTCCAAGAAGTCCACTTTCTCATGAAGCCAGTGATACACTGAGATCTAGCAAAGATCAGAAAAGCTCAAAAGTGTATGGTCATTTACTGCGCGAAAGTGAATCGGATATCAATCTAGATGGACATGTCAAATACGTATTCAATCAAGGCAAAATACGTCTCAAGAAGAAAAAGAACAACGAGTCATCACTTGATAAAGAGCAGGAACAAGGGCCAACAAAGAAATATTCGAAAGCTGCTGTTGCTGCTGCTGCTGCTGCTGCCGCTGTCGCTAATGGCAAATACAGATTGAAATTTGGAGATTTGACTTTCAAGTCATCTAGTACAACCATTTTCGATTCAGAAGAATTTAAAAGCTCGCAATTTTTTGGCATGTACGTTTTGTTTTGGCTTTACACTGCATTTGTGCTGTTTAATAATTTGGTACATATTTATTTTGAAAACGCTACACCAGTAATGAAATGGAGCATTGTTTTGATACTACGTCGGGATTTGCTCAAGGTTGGGTTGACTGATTTGGTTATGTATTTAGCCAGCTATTTTCCATATTTCTTACAAGTCTTGGTCATAAAGAGATGGATTAGCTGGAGAAAAATTGGCTGGATCATCGAGAGTGTTTACGAAGCTATTTTTGTTGTAGTCTTTGTATGGTTTGGGCACTATATGAATTTCCCATGGATAGCAAGAGTGTTTTTGGTATTACATAGTCTTGTGTTTTTGATGAAGATCCATTCATATGCATTTTATAACGGGTATTTGTGGGAGGTGTACAATGAAGGTTTATTCTCTGAATCTTATTTGGATTTGTTATTGAAAAAACAAGTTGTATTACCAAAGGGACATGAAGAGGAAAAAACCATTGAACTTTTAAAAGGAAGTATTGAGTTCACCAAGTATGAGTTGGAGTATCAATCCAGAGCAACAACAGATAAGCCGGAAAGTGACAAACACAAAGACGAAAACGTTAGATTAGACTTGTCATTCAAGGAGTTGCAAGATAAAGGTTGCATTATTTTTCCTCAGAACATCAATTTGCGTAACTACTTTGAGTATAGTATGTTTCCAACTGTGGTTTACACTTTACAATTTCCTAGAACCAAAAAGATTAGGTGGTCATATGTCTTGTATAAGACGTTTGCTGTTTTTAGTCTTTTTTTTCTCATGATAACGATTGCTGAAAACAGCTTGGTACCAATTGTTAAAAGGTGTATACTTGCGAGACGACTTCCCATTCATGAGAGGATCCCTCATTATTTTTTCATTTTGTTAGACATGATTCCACCATTTTTGATGGAATACTTGTTCACTTTTTTCCTCATTTGGGATTCGGTGTTGAATGCACTTGCCGAGTTGACACTCTTTGCAGATCGAGATTTCTATGGACCATGGTGGTCATGTACTGATTTTTCAGAGTTTGCAAGATTATGGAACAAGCCAGTCCACAACTTTTTATTACGCCATGTTTACCACTCAAGTATCAGTGCACTAAAAGTAAACAGGATACAAGCTGCTTTGATTACCTTTATATTATCAAGTATTGTTCACGAGTTGGTAATGTATGTCATTTTTGGAAGTGTTCGTGGATATTTACTACTTTTCCAAATGTCTCAGATACCACTAGTTATGATGAGTAAGAGCAAATTATTGAGAGATAAAAAGGTATTGGGGAATTGTATCTGCTGGTTCGGGTTCATTAGTGGCCCGAGTATTATTTGCTGTTTGTATTTGGTTTTTTAATAAAAAGAGTTGTATGTACCACAAATATAATGTTAGCTTTGAATCCTGTTGTTAGATTAAAACTTCTTAAACAATATAGAAATATTAATTCAACTAATTGCACTTGTTTACATTTTGATTTAACTATTAAATTATCAAACCTTAACCGTGAGATTTAATTTATACCTTATTCGTGAGTTTTAAATTCAATATTGATTCTCTCTTCAATGAAAGCAGAGAAAGTGGGAAGGAGAGAAGGGACGATTGTGGAGGAAATTCATATATTTAACTTCTTGTTTTGAGAAAACTTATCCTTTGTAGTTATGTTACTACCACTAGGGGGGGCGGGGGCGAGGGGGGCTTATTCACTATTGGATGGATTTTCATAAAGAGGGCTCATTCACTAGCAAATGGTAGCTGTTTTTATTTTTCCAATGGAAAAGTATAATTTCGGATTATCATAAGTATTAACTTTTAAAACCTAATTTGAAAGGGGACCTGAACGGGAAAGTGTGATAATTTTTCCACATGAAAAAATAAATAAGAGATAAAGGAAAAAAGGACTTTTATACTTAGTGAAGAAAAGAAGCATGTTCGTTTTTTGGTTGTGTATCTTAGTTTCTTGAAGTTAATTCCAAATTATTTCTCGGAATCGAGTTCTCTTTCTCGTTCTTTCTCTCTCTCTCTCTCTAATGTATTCTATATCAACAGAGTTATTTGTGTCCATCACCTGCAAAGACATTCTAGATTACCTCATTTACCCCATCGCACTTTGTAAGAATCACTAAACTTGAGATATTATGGAAGAAAAAAAAAGTCTGCATAACCTAAATAGGCTAATAATTGTAAAAGAAACGCAAAAGAAAAAGACAAACAATTGGACTGGACTACAAAAGGATTCTTTCACATTGCATGTGCTACCGGTTATCTCAATTTTCAACAATCACAAGAATAAGTTTAGAAGAACAACACTTAACGTTTTCCTTTTCTAGACAAGATCAGTCAAGTATCCTGAAAAAAGCTCATTAGTGTATATATAGGCATAGATATTGACATGGATGGCAGTCAGAAATTCATTTTTATATGCTTTTGAGGGATAAGTTTTTCCTTTTCACTCATAGGCTTTGGTTGATAACAATCAGAGTATTTCAATTTAGGGTCATTGTTTCAGGATCTACTTTTTCCATGTTGTCCACAAGCAAGACGAAGAATCGTATATATATCAAATCATGGTTGAGGACTACACGTTGTAGTGGATAAAAATCAAACCCGTGGGTTTGATTATCCTACAGAACTGGATATTGGGGTCCAGCAATCCAGACTTCCAGTCAATATGTATTGTATTTGAATTCATTTTACAATTGTGGGGTTCCGTCATTTTTGGAAGAGCAGACTTGAAGCTTTATAGACTTGATTTATTCCCTGCACTAATTATAGCAGGTAACAAAGTTGTCTTGCCAGAAAATAAAATGAAGATAAAGGTTGTAACGACAAGTATTGATTGGAATAGACACTGATATTTGATGAAGGTAATGAATTTGATTTTCCATCAGAGAGTAGATATAGACTATTGAGCAAAGCGAGATAGTTCATAGATGAATGCAACCATATACCACATTCAGATCTCACTAGTCAAGCTCATATTTGATATTGAAAACATATAGTAATGGGTAGATATACCCTACCAACCAAGGCACTCGCAGTTTGCCTGACAATAGACTACACATCGTGATACAAGTTTACAATACACTTGGTACTTTTTTTTTTTTTACCACAGAGATAACCAACCGTGTGGTAATATTTTTGTTCAGAAATAAGAAGAAAAAAAAAAAATCTTTTAAATATCAATTACATTTTGTTTTGTTTTGTGTTGCTTTAGTTTTTGGATTGTTGGCCCTTTACCTTGTCATATTTAACTAGGTAATATATCTTGTTCAAAACAATTCAGCAAATGAAACTCGTTTGTGATATCCGCATGATCAAAATAAATTGAAACAAAATGCTGTCCCTATATATGTGTGGTAAATTTCAAACATCTGAAACTTTCAACCCCTTGTCTGATTGTGTAAGTTTTGTGAGCTTTGTGTGAAGAACAAACAAAGAAACAAGCAAAAAAAGAACAATAAAGATCTGAATTGTTTGTTCTTATAAACCTTCCCAAACAGGAAGTCTTTTATTAATTAAAGACATGACTTCCTAGTTGGGAAATATGCTTGAAGACTTAATTTAAAAACTATAATTCTCAAAAAGGAATTTAAGGTTCGCCATACAAGAATTAATTATTTATTGCGGGGGGGTATTTTTTTAAATCTCGAGAAAAAAAAAAGGTGTATGTTAGGTTGCATATGCGGCTTTAAGTATAACTGAGAATTACGAGTGTCCTATTTTTTTTGCAGTTTTGAGTATTACAGCAAAGCAAGAAGGTTTTTATGGTAGTGCAATCTTTCGAGGGATCATATTCAACTGAGTGAAATTTTATTAAAGGAGAGGGGAATGAGGGGGTAAGGAGAAGGGGAAACATAACTGGTCTTGAAACGATTATAAAAAAGGCTGGAACCACTATGAAATTGCCTTTTGAAATTCTGAACAACTAGTATAATGAAACCTTCACCCGAAAATTCAAATACATTCTAGTTTTTTGCAACTATATCCACAAGTTAAGAAAACTGAAGTTGTTATCAACTTTTTCATAAAGGGTTTTCTTGTTTTCCAGCTTTTTTCTTCTATTCTTTTCTTTTCTTCTTTATTGGCTTCACAAGTCTATCCCAGGCCTCCAAATTTTGTCACTGTTGAGAGCTTGAATCGGTTAAGATTTGCATATTCATAAGTGTTGAAACCTATCTTCCTTGTGCCAACTCCACATACTGAACCTTTGTTAATCTTTTATATCTAGAAACTCAAAATTTCATACTTTTTTCATCTCCAACCTTTTCCTTCAAACAAGTCAGATGTCAGATGAATATTACTACACAGTTCTGACGGGTGTTTTTAATCTCCTAATGAGCTTAAAGAATGGTGCCTCCACGGGAACTGGAATAGTAAATCTAGTCGAATTTGCACACAATGCAATTGGTCAAGAGATTCCACCAGCGATAATCAACTATTGTGTAAGTACGCAGAATAATGTATTTGGAGATTATCCAACTAAAGAAGATGTTGCACCATCCATTGCATTTGCTGTCATATTCGGTTTTATCATGCTTGTCCACTGTATCGTGTTTGCCATAGATCAATATCGAGGTCATTATTTTT